ACCGTGGTACATACTCTTGACCAGAATCAAACCTGTGACCCTTTGGTCTGCACGCTGATGCTCTATCCACTGAGCCAAACCGACTAGGGCAAAATCCAAACTTTTTAAGATGCCATGCAGGGACCCTTCATGATTTGAGTCTTGCCTACCCTCACATGGTGCACACTGAATCATATAGATTCTATATTATAGAACACTCATTCCCTTCTTCTCTGTCTTCTACTTATAACCTTAGCAAATGTTCCCTCTGCATGGAACATTCTCCCAACTCCCTTTGCCTTCTCCCAGTTTGTTAAGACTAATTCCCACAACTTTCTAAAACAGGCCTGGTGTCACCTTCTCTGGGAAGTCTCTAAAATGGAATTCAAAATGCCACATTGTAATTACTGTCCACTTCTTAAACTGGGAACTCTCTAAGGGCAGGCACTATACACTTTTATCTTGTTTTCTCAGCATCAGCTGTTACTCAAATCAGGTTTATTGAATAATCTCTCACTTTGAAATTATGTTTAGGGCTCCAGCTCTAGCATACCTAATCTGTGGTTTTATGCCATCTCCCAAACTGTAAATAACAAAGCAAACGTTAAAATTTTCTTCCCCCATCTCATTATTCCCAAATCCAATCTACACGAATAAAAGAGAAACATGCAAATTGGTGTCACTCCGCTATGCCCACCAGCCTTTCAGAGTGACTATGCAAATTAACCCAACAAAGATAGCAGTTAGTTTGCATACGCAGGTGCAGACTGAAGACTGAAGACTGAAGAGGCTTAGCTTCTCCACTGCAGCCGCAGCGGAGAAGCCAAGCCTCGCTACAGCTGCAGCCGGACCAAAGGCCTGGGTCCTGGGGGCCAGAGGAAAACTGGTGCCAGAAGCCAGGGGAAGGAAGGCCTATTGTGCAAATTTTTGTGCACCGGGCCTCTAGTCCTATATAATAAAAGAGAAACATGCAAATTAGCCATCCCTCCCCTATGCTCAAGCCACACCCACCAGCCATGCCCACCAGCCAATCCGAGTGACTATGCAAATTATCCAACAAAGATGGCGGTTAATTTGCATACACAGGTGTCAAGTGCCCCAGGAGGCGACGGCAGCCGTGGCCAGTGGGCTCCCAGGACTTTTGCCGGCCCCAGGAGGTAAGGCCATAGCCATGCCCGCGGACTCCCGGGACCTTGCTGGCGGAGAGCAGGAGGTTTGGAGGACTTGGCAGAGCAGGAGACCACTGGACATAGAGCAGAGTGAGAGAGAGGGCAACTTGGAGGGTGTGGCTCCCTCTGTCACCCCAGCTTCCTCATCACAGCTATGGAAACTGACAGCAAGGATGAGGAAGTCTCACCCCCACAGAATCAGCCAGAATCAGCCATTGGTCAGACAGCTCTCAGCGGTCTGACAGCCAGGACACTCATTCACCTGCATCTCAGACCCTGACAGTAGAGAGGTGGGACTATGTTTAAAGAACAACTGTTGATTCAACGTAGCTCTGCAGCCGAAAGATGCTGGCGTTATCAATAGAAAGTGTCTGCAGAGCAGCGTGCATCTGATCTTGAAAGAAGGCAGCGCCTGCGACAGCATGTATCTGAACACCAGCTACTAGAAAACGTCGCTCTGATGCCGAAAAACACCGGTATTATCGACAGAAAATGTCTAAAGACCAACGTGCCTTTGAAGTTGAAAGAAGGCAGTGGCGACGATAGAATATGTCTAGAGAACAGTCATCAACAAGTACTACCAATACCGGTAGGAACTGCCTTCTCAGCGAAAATGGAGTACATGAGGATGC